CTCTTTCCACACTGAGGTCTTGCATTCACTTAGTGCTTTTTTCATTTGCTTATTGCAAAATGGCTTCCCTATTTCAGTCAAATCTCTTTAAAAAACCCCTATCATCTATGAAATATTACCAGATTAGTAAGTAAAATAAATTTTACAATGCCTCAGATGGTGCCTCAAGTCTCAATTACTTTGTTTATAGCTGCCCCTTTGAGAAAAAAACATTGTGCAAAAAAGTACGTATTTGTTATAGTACTAACCGCCTTGTCAAAGGAGTAGGCAGTAACGGTATGGCACAGTCAGATGTATCGGCTGACTGCGCTTCAGCCCGCCATGCAGCACACTCCTCCTCACCTCTGGCATCAGGGCTAGAGTAAAAGCTTTGTCTGAGGCTGAGTTTTGCTACTATTCCACAGAAGCAACATAAGCGAGGGATTTAAGTCAGACTTCATATTTAGATTTTGATACATTACAAAGACTGTATTAAATCAGTGACAGTAGTCAAAATGGGGTTTGCTACTTCCCTTACCTTTTCCCACATTTCCTCCCTGAAACCACTGTGAATGGTTGCAGGTGTCCAGTTTACATATCAGCAGCTAGGGTGTCAGCAATCAAATTTTATCCAAAACACTTCACATAGTTCATATGCTTTGAATACTTTACAGATTCATAGAAGGCGGCTCAAAAATACAATCCTTGAGTGTTTTCTTCCAGACCCTGTCCTCCATTTTAAGTCATACCTCACACAATTTTTCCTCTTAAAGTTTATACTTTTTTGTTACTCTTCTTTTGCCTCCTCATGTTTTTATCCATCTCATATCTCTTCCCAGACTACCTCAGATTGCAAAATACAATTTGCAACTTTTTACTAACCTATTTTGCTGCATCTCTATTAATCCACCACTTACTTTTTACGTTAAAGACCTATATGTCTGTTTAAGGTAATCGTAAGCAGAGGTACCCAACATCTTTATTCAGCTGCCTTTTTATTTTAAAGGACTCATGCCTGCTGCATTCCAACCTGTGTACTGTGCTACAAAGCATGGTGTAATTGGATTCACACGGTCAATAGCAGTAAGTATGTGTTTTTGAAAACAGTATCAGCAGCTCCTTGGGAACATGCTAAGTTTCTCATGTTCCCTCTCTGTTGTCACACCACTGGAACTAATTTTCTTAAAGAAACCCAAGTGTTTGAAGCAGTGGAGGTTCCCTCCTTTCACAAAGGGAATCCAAAGATGGAATAAGTAAGGCATGTGTGTGTTTATGACTGTTTTGATGTTTTGGGAGCATGGAAGAAAGATGTTGCAAAGTAGTTTAAGGACAGTGAGAGGAGCCCAAAAGTCAAATTCTTATCCAAGCTTTAAAAATATTTTTCATAAGTCCATCCCAGTCATTTAACATTTTGGTTTCCTTATTTGTAAGCCAGGTTGATGACTTTTTTATCATAAATAGGCACTAAAGTATACAAAAAGTGACTTGAACACAAAATATTTACCTTTCTTTATTCTTACCAATGCTTAATATGCTGAAAATGCAAAATGACACATTCAGGATAGCATATGTCAGATGTTATACAGTAAGTCTTAGCCAAAACTTTCTAGTTAAACTGAACAAGCAGCAAGATAAGATATCTTGGAGGGGGCAAATATGATTACACTTTCATAGGCGAAGCTAAAATATAGTCTACTCATATAAGATTTCCAATCTAATTTCCAGAATAAAATACCTGAAATGATAATTTGGATAGTTTATTCATATATTATGCCACCATCTTCCACCCAGATAACTTCTTTTTCAGATTAACTGAAACAGATTAGTATGGATAAGTGCTGCATATAACATATTAGCCACAGCATCAACCTGACACCTTTTTTTCCTTTTTTGTTTTCTCATGACAATATAAACATCATCATTTAAGTTCAAAAATAAAGGGTCTGCTAGAAAATTAATGGAAACGCTGTCTCTATGGAACATCAGAATGCTGAGGAGAAAAAGAATAATAAACACAGCAAATCACTGTATTTACCAGGAAAGGCACTACAGCCTAATGTTGGGCAGGTATGACAAAAAACATCCAGGACTTGAGTTTATTTTCTTCTCTAGACCAAAAGCACAGGCTACCATATCATGAAAATGATATGTGATTTACATAATATCAGAAAGGTTTCCTGTTAAATGTTCAAATAAATAGAATTCAGTGTTGAAGAATTATAGTTTTTCTTGGATACGTCATGTGTAGTTCATAAGTTCTGTGCCATCGCTAAGAAAGTTTATCCAGCGTACAACATACGCCTGGAAGCTGATCAGACTTCTTTGCCACGCACATGCACTGGTAGCATCATAAATGACGGGCCCTACCATTCCCAGAACAATTTGTGCTGCTTGCTTTCATCATGTTCCTGAACTGCTCCTAGAAAAAACTCCTGCCTTGTTCCCGGAGTTCACAGGGACTTGCCTGTGGAGGTACTCAGTGATAGACTCGTCCCTTGGCAGGGACGATAGAGCAGCTGGCAAGGTTTAGTATTACAGTTCTAGGAGCAGAGACCAAATCCTATTTCTGTTGAGGAAGGTAAATACAATCCTAGAGTTAAATCTTGATTTGATTTCAGACATTTTTCTTTTAATAAAAAAGTTCTTAGAAGATTGGAAGCATACATTTGGGAGATATTCTTTACTTGGCTTTGCTTATGAGAGTTATATCATCACCCTAGAATACTGTTAATGACATGCCAAGAGCACTAATAACAAAAATATTAGAAAAAAACAGCTGCATGGAAAGAAGAGTGTTGTGTTCTTGTGGAATTGTTCTCCCAGCAAATCAGATTTTTGTTTTTTCTGGCAATCTAGTACGATTACTGGAGAAAATGTGCTTCAAACTTAGTTGTTGAAACAGAACAATCAGTAGTAACAAAATTTGCTTACTAGGCAAGGCTGAAAAGTACTTAGTGGTAAATCTCATTCTTTGAAAAATTACTTACACAATACTGTTTTAAACTATTGATGACAAACGCCTAATTTTTTCTCTTTTCTAGTTAGCTGCTAATATGGAAAACTACGGTGTGAGACTCAACACAATTTGTCCAGGATTTGTCAACACACCGATTCTTCAGTCAATAGACAAAGAAGAGAATATGGGACAATATTATTCATATAAGGATGAGATCAAAAATATGATGCAGTTCTATGGCGTGATGGAGTAAGTCAAGTCAGACCTGGAGGTTTTTTGCCTTTGTTAATGAAGAACAAGCACACACAATAGAACTTTCAGCAAAATTAAAGTAAAAAGGAAATGTTGTCTCAGATAGAAGGCTATCAAATGTGTTATCTTATATACAAAGAACAAATGGCAGATATCTAAGGCTATTTTAAGTGTATCTCCTACGTAGTCATACTTCCCTTTATGCATTCCTATTCCCCAGCAAAATGCAAATCAAACTCCCAAGTTAAAGATGGTGTGTTAGTTTTTAACAGCCCTTGGTGTTCTTCCATAAATTTGTTTAACCGAACTTGTTGTGAGATGCAGGGTATAACATTTGTATTGAATTTCCACAAAATTTCCAAATGAACCATGGCAGAAATCAGACCAAGAAGTGACAAAACTGGACTAAGTTCATGAGAGCACAGTAGCGACAATGGTGGATCAGATCGAAGAGTTACCTGGCCCATTATGGTACTGCCAACAAAGGCCAAAAGCAGACAGCTAGGAAAGAGAGTAAGAACAAGACGAGCATAAAGTGATATTTTTTTAACACTTTCTCAATCTCTAACAATTAGCTGCTCAGATACTCCTGCACAAAGGAAATTGTATGACCGCATTGTTTCACCCACACTTTTTCATATGTAAAATATATTGCACCTCTTGACCACAGAAAACTGCATGTGGTCCTTATGTTAATTTGTATGTTAGTCCTGCTACAGAAAGAGGGTAAAACAACAGCAAAGACCTGCAGAGGACTCTGTAAGGATTACTTCTGTCCTTTGCCCTGGCAGAGAAAAGTTTGATAGAAAGCCCAGTGGCAGCTGGATGTCCACAGGGATTTAGCAGTAGGTAGAGCAAAGAAATGATGATTTGTAAAGTTCCCGCTTTACATCGTATGTCCTGATTGAGGAAACTGAATTTCACTCATACCACCTCTGCTTTCGTGAAAATAAATTTGTTCAAATACCAGATTGTTTAATTTTCAGGGTATATGGATTTATATTGAGTTTCTTTACTTGTCCCTTTCACATGTTCTATCACATCATGATTCTGAAATATCAACTTTTTTTTTTTCAGCCCATCATTAATTGCCGAGGGACTGATAACAATAATTGAAGATGATACTCTAAATGGAGAAGTTATGAAGATTACAGCATCCCAAGGGATTCATTTTCAACAATACAGCCAAACACCTTTTACATCATCAAAAAGATAAATATATGCCTTACGCTAATTGTTTTTGGCCTTTCTTACATAGAAAAATTTTGAAAAAGCGTAATTTTTTTAAAAAAGGTTAGTGTTCTATCTAGAGCAGTGAAAATGTTCACAGATTCGCATCCTACTAGCAAAGAAATGGACAAGAAAATCTGGTGTGGGAAGACATTACCATTCTATTCTGATTCCGTAAGCAGTAGTAATAGTATTTATTCAGTAGAATAAACACACTGCTTGGAAGATTTTTGGTTATGTAGTAATAGGGGCCAGGTTTTTTCCTTCTGGTAGTTCTGATCTACATACTCCAGGCAGATTTTGGTGGACCTGACTTATAATTCTTCTCACTGTTGTAAGCGTCTACTTATTTATATTCTGAATTCTTTAGGCCAGGAATTCAGTTCAGGAATCTAGAACGCAAATATACCTATAAGGAGTTAAGAATTTACTACTTCTTATGAAATGTAAAATAGAACAAGGGGCAAAAATCTCTTTCCTCATTTATATATGCAACTGAATATGTTGCATATCACAGAAGTACAGATTTTTATCTTCTTGGATTTTGTCTATTTATAAAACAGTTCAGAATTATTTTTGTTTTCTTTTACAGATATATATATATGAATTTTCTTTCTCTGTATATACATGTATGAATACTTTTGGCATTAATTGAAATGTCTACTTCCTCATTAAATCTCATTTTCTAAACCTTTAAATCTAATTTCTTGCCTTAAGTGATTAAAACCTCAGTTAAATCCTGAATAATCTGGGAGTTTTGTGTTTTATACATGTTCCTTTTGGTATCATGATACATATTTTTAGATGGAGCATGTCATACAGTGGCAACGAAAATAAAAAATGAGCTTCCTGTCTCCTGAGTGCCACCGGACCTTCTGAATCCAGGTCAATACCCAGCTACATTTATGAAACAAACCGTGGTACTCCATGGGTTACATGCCTGACAAAAAAAATTTTTACATGGTAATTTATTTAGGATGATAGCATAAGAAGATTGAATAACTCCTGGGACGGCTGGGAAAAGTTAATGTTTACCCTCTTTAGGAGCAGTGACTTTAATTTCACTGATGTAAGCATTGTTTATTTCAGCATTGTAACTGAAAGAGTGGAAACACTAGTATTTACCTTCTGTGGAAGTCAGGGAGTAATAAGACTGTGGGGAGAAGAAAAGAAGCAGACACACATACCTTGAACTACTCATCATTCTCCCCATGCCTCCATTTTTGGCTCTGTTAACACTATTTTTAAAGCCTATTTTGAATCCATACATGTTAGCCACATCATCAGCATCCCTGAAAGCATCTGTGTATCCCTCTGGACTAAAAGATACTATCTGATTTGATTATTAATTTCTACTTTTGTTTCATTAAAATCAGAGCATTTCCTAATATGTGACAGAGTAGTACAGAAGTTGTGATGTAAACTCAAAGTCAGCACGCTTCTTTAGTTAGGTCCTAACACCAACAATCAGCTACCTCTGCTTCTCTCTTCGGTAAGCAGCATTTCAAAATAGTTTACAAACAAGAGAAGGTTTAATAACAATGATAGTATATGCAAAGCATGTAATTAGCAAACATCACACTGTTAGATAGTAACTCAGCAGCTTCTTCTAACAACATACTTTAAATAACAATGGGAATATTGTAAATGACAGTATGTATATTGATGATACATTGTCGCCTTGACTGCTTTTGTTCATCTCTGCTACTTGCTATCCCCAAAGAAACAGCTGTTTAACAGCGAGGGTTGAGTTTTCCAAGGGATCAATGAAAGAATATATAATTTAAGAGTATTAGAAATAAAAGGCCAGAAGTCCAATGTACGCTCCCTGGAGGAAGAAAAAACAGAAAGAAATTTAAAGTTAATTAGAGCCAATCACTTCAGACATTGCACAAGCAACTTGAGGTATTACACTGGTACAAAATTCTGATTCTGTGAATTGGCAGTATTCTAAGAAGGGATTCCATCTGTGGTGTATCAATAGTCACACAAGACAAACTTAGATTAATAAAATAGGCAATTAGTCTCCAGGACACTTGGAAATTCTGAGCCTATATCTTGGAAAGAATTACAGCCGCATCTTTCTTTGACGTATAGGCCTTTTCTTCTGGATTATTTTTGTACCTCAAAGACAGATGTTTTCAAATCAATGCCATACAGAAAACTTCATGAAAGGCAGAGACTGCATTCACTTCCGTCTGATAATCCGATAAGGAAGTCTCAGAATGCAATACATGCTCATTTGATCAAATAAACATTTATACTAAGATAAATCTCTAATTATTAGCACATCTGGAACTCACTGCAAGAATCGAGGAAGTAGCAATGAAGTAAACCTCTTAATTCAAATTCTAATAGGAAAAAATAACCATCAAATTTCTACCTTCTAATTAAAAAAAAAAAGTGCCTCAAATCAAATATCCCAGTTTTCCAGTTTCAGTTAGTGTGTATTCAAACACATCTGATGGTTTTATCTGCACAGGAAGAACAAGTCCTAAATATGTTTTGGAAAGGTTTCCTGTAAGACTTCCCCCCAACCTTTGGAAGTCTTCCAGAAAGCATGAAAAAGAACATATGTTTGATTTACAGACAGAAACACCCAGGGAAGCAATAGGCAGAAAGATGAGTTAAAGGAAGAAAGTGAGTTTCATTTCTGCACAAAGATTGTTTTGAAACTTCGTCTTCAGTTAAAAGTCTTGACATAATTCCAAGGCTTAATTTATTTTGCCTGGGAGATCATCATTCTTAAGACGACTGTTCTAACTTTTTAGGTAAACTCAGCCAAAGGGAAAAATAAATATTTTAAATGAGAAATACCAATTGCCAAGAACATAAAGTGACAAGGAATAATCTAGACTCATATAACGATTATTATTTGCAATGAACGTTCAATTCCTTGTGATAAGTTTACTTTTCAGTGGGTCTTTACAGTTTCAAATAGGAATCTTTTAAGGATAAAGAATAAATATAACTAGTGAACTCCATTTTTCCAGTGTTTATGATCCTATGTGAAAGCCCAAATCATAAGGCATTTCAAGTGCACTGTGATATGACAATCTTACTTTATTTGTACTATTTAAAGACTTGATTCAAGGAAATCTTTTTGAAAAGGTACGTAACCATAGTCATCAACATAATTATGTGAATAACGCATCATATTCTGTACTGTTCAGAAGGACCTGGAATTGACTTGCATTCTATGTATCATAAAATCATATGTGCATCAATTTTACTATTGAGGGGGTGATCTGCGCAGTAACAAGTCCTCCTTGTAGTTTCCCTAAATTAAGGAAGTCCTGAAACGAGAGACCAGACCTCTTCCGCTTGTTTGGAAAATAAGTTTTGCAAACAGCAAACCAAAAATAAACTTTAGTTAAAACCAAAATCTGTTTTCCACTGAAATCTTGAATATGAGCCGAATCTTTAAAGGAACAGCATTAAATAACTAATGCTATGGCTTCTGGGCAGGATGGGGCTCTTCTGACAGATAATGATTTCCTTCCTCCAGTGCTGAACTGCCCTAAACTTTCTACAGGATGATTCTCCAGCTCGAACTTCCCTTTTAGCTAAGTCTATTTGCTTTGCATCAAGATATGTTGACAGTTTTCAGCTCTGGCTCCAGGAGTCCAGATGGTTCAATGAAAGTGAAGGATAATACCATATGATTTAGATTTTTTTTTTTTTCCTCCAGTACAAAAAGAACAGCTTAATGTCAGGTCAAATTTGTAATTCAAACTGAGAGGGACAGTAAACAAGAAGAGTTATGCTCTTACTCTGAAGAGGACAGTAAACAGGAAGAGAGCAGTTCAGGTAAAAAAATATATAAGATGCAAAAATTCTAAACCTAAAACATCTTTGAAATACGTCAGTTCTTCCCATTGTTTATGTGGAAGGCCATTACTATGAACTGTGGACCAAACTAAACCTGAATGTTTTCTGACTTGTATACAGAGACAGTCTAACGCACTATTCTCACGGATTATGAGAATAAATTAGGATCTTCACAGTAAAAATTAACCTTAATGAAAAAAAAGTCATCTATTTCAAGCAATCATGCTTTAAGCAGCGAAGCATTTGCAACAGTTACATGTTCAGCTCCTTCTGTTTATCCACAAGCTCTGTGCTACTTCACTGCTGGCATCTGCTGGGCAAATCTTACAGAGACTATTACCACTGCAGAGGCAGAATTAATTTCTTGCTATCAAATTGCACTTTTTCAGCTTTTACTTTCATCAGAGGGTTTCTCGCCCTCCTGCTCTCACCCTGAAGAGAGGCCACACAGGACACGATGATCATCTCGTGACAGGTCTGACATCTGGTCCAGGATTTCTGGATGGTTCAAGGCTCTAGATTTAGCCTCCTGAAGCAGAAATTCCTAGTAGTGACATCCCAGAAGAACGCAAAAGATCTGTCTGACCCCTTATCTATCCCCTGACTTGCCAGTTCCTTCCCTGCATCTTTCAAAGGGACTATCTGAAACACCAGCATTTTAGTAGTGAACTACTCTCCAGCTACACCAAAACTCATCAGTCACCAAGAGCATCTTCTCTTAAGACATTGCTGATTTCACTGATTTCAGACAAACTGTTACGCCAGTTTATTAGCTCACAGGATGCTCTGCTCCGCAGAAATGGCCCAAGGTATCTCAGCAGCATTCTTCTCTTTGCAATGCAAGCTTCCCTCAGCAGCCGCAATCTTGAAAAACTAAATAGGAAATAAGGCTTTCAGTGACACGGCTGTGAACTCTTTACTACACGACATGAGGACGAGCACACTTCTGCCTGCTTTCAGAAAAAAGCACAAACACAACTTTGAGCGCACTTTCCCACCGCGGCAAACAAAACCCACAGAAGAAAAGAGGAAACAAAGATATTTTTGGAACACAGGAATGTAAAACTCTTCAGAAAAATAGTGGTTTAGCTAATCTAGCCATTCCTATTCACAAAAATGACTAATGCTTCAGAATCTTGTACAGCGTTTGACCTT